GCAGATATGTTTGTATCTGTTACATCTGGGCATGCACTGATTTAAAAGAATCTAACTTTACTGGCTGCTCGGAAGGAAAACAGAGGGGGAGAAAGTCCAATGCCATTGAAATCACACGCATTTTATGTTACTTACTGTGTGTTATGACACAACACAATTGATATTACATGATAAAATAGTTCCTAACCTTTGTGAAATCCTTTGTCTGTTTCTAAAGATGTTTAAATTGGCTTTTCGTGCATCTGAGTTCCTGTTTTAAATTTCTGCGTGTATCTGAAGGCAGAGACAGACTTTTCAAAATAGCACGAGCAGACACATCTGGCCTGGAACTACTATAGGGAGAAGGCGATGACAGCACAGACGAAGCCCTGCGTTATGGAGTCCCGGCTGAAGGCTGAGGCCCTCTGCTCCATCCTGCAGGCCCCCCAAGGACGAGGCTCTCCACCCCCACTGACCCGCAGCCGCCTGTCCCAGACTCCGGCTGCCCATGGCCTCCCTTCATGTTCAAAGAGGCAAAGACGAATCGTTCCGGTTACCTGACTCTCAGGACCACCTGTTCCAAATTATTCTTTGCCCTCCAAATGTTTATAATCTAACCCCTAATAACACCCACCCATAACGATCCGGCACCTTCCAGTAAACTTGACTTGAGCTGAGCCTACCGTAATGTTTTAGGGCCTTTCCACTGCCGGTAAATTTATTGACTCATTTTAGGAACTGAAAGGCGTAGCGTTAATATCGAAGGAACAAATCAAATTAGGCTTCATAAATAGACATTTTCCTTGACAGACCCATACCCAACCTGCTAAATATGACTCAAAAAGGTTCATATATGTTTTCTAAATACTCAATATGATTTTTCTTCCATTTAAAACAATAGAAAAAAATAAAAACAGGCCAGGTTCAGAAAATAATTCGTTCTGCACATTAAAAACTATCCAAGCTCAGTGTCTGCCTCCGAGGGGAATGAGAGCAGAAGTGTTCTCAGAGCCAGAGTTTTCGTAGCACATGGGTAAGGCCTAATCTGCAGAGAACCGAAGGCCTAGATTTCATCGGCACTCCACTTCCTTGTTAAAGTTGGGGTGATGACAACACTCGAAGGCCCAGCTGACAATGCACCCTGAAAATATCCGGGAGGAGTTGACTTTAGGCCTGCCATTCAAGTATTCAATCAATGGCAGCTATTTTCATCCTGAGTATGAAATTATAAGGATGTACTTTGTAAGTAAAAGGAATGGCAAAGGCACTCAATATGATGGAAGTGAGCAAAAAGAAAAAAGCAATAACAATAAATGTAAAACCAATGGCTTCCTTTGGCTCTTTCCCCTAAAAACACTGGCAGGTACTTTCCTACCAGGAAGCTGATTTCAAATCACAGGTAATAAAGACCCAATTCCTGGCCCTCTCATTCATTTATAGTAAGACAGGTGGGTCCTCATCCTCAGCCACCATCACCAGAGTGTCAAGTATTTGATTCAAGGACCTGATTGAGGGAGTTTATTCTCCTGGGATTAGAAGAAGGTGTTAGGCAAAGCCATTAGGCCAGCTAAGATCTTCAAATAGCGAAAATGAAGTATTGTCTCCAGTGATTTCCCTGTTAACTGTCTCCCTATCAGAGTCTTCTTGTTGTTTTGTAGGATTGGGGCTGTTTGAACAGTCACAAATGATGGGAGGGTGGGCTGAGGCCTTCAGGAAGCTGTTATGACACTGGCAGATGGGGTTCAGGAAGAGGGTTGGGAGGCAGTGAGGAATTTTTGTGTCTTTCGGTGTGTGTTTTCTGTCAACAGGCTGTGTTTTCTCAACTCTGGGGTTAATTCTCTGTAAAGGGATTCCCCTCGAGCAGACTCTACCAACTTCTTTTACAGAGCAGCTAGCTAGGAAAAAAGCCCCCTCCCCAACAAAATCCAGTCTTGGCAACAGTCAGAAAGTTCGGCCTTTAGAGGTAACAGGCTAATTAGCCTCTTCCTCTCCACAAACCCCACAGATCAGAAGAACTACAAATTTAGCCAAGCATTTCCCCTTATCAGAAGTGGTTGGGGAAGGGGCTTCTTCTCGCCCCTACATGATCCATGTCAGGCCAGATAGTCTGGATTTTTATCTGGTGCCCAGATGAGTCCCTTTCCATGTGACAAGTAGCCCCTGCCCTTTTGCACAGCACACGCACTTCAGGCCTGTGGACATTGCCTACTGTGTGTACTTGTCCTTCTCCCCCAAACATGCTCTGTGGCAAGGAAGCCTTCCCAGCAAAATCCCGGACCCAAATGTAACTGCCACCCAGCTCCTTGGAGAAGACACTGGGCGAGGGTGTTTAGAGACAGTCATGTGTCTAAGCAAGACCTCTCCCTTCCCTGCATTTTTTCCTGACAGCCACGGGTGTGCTTTCTCTGTCCAGAAAGGTATCTGTCAGGAACGGGTGGGAACCCACTCTTTCTCCCTCACAGCCTGTGATTTTATTATACAAGGAGTTTATTGCTGGCCTAATTAGTTTCAAACTGGGCATTCCAGCTGAAGACACCTAAAAAACATCTGGTGGAGGGAGAGAGAATGAGCCCTCGTTCTGAGCTGGTTATGGTTGGATTTCTGCATAACTCTGGTCTCTTGCGCCCAACACAAGTTATCTTTGGAAAAGTAACTGAAAAAATAAGGAAATGGTTTCTTCTTTGTGGGAAAGGAGTCATCTCAACATGGGGGAACCAAAAATGTCTTAAAGCGGACGTCTTCACAAACTGCCAGGGTCTCCATAGCTTGCTCAACCTAATTCAAAATGTACTTAGCTGCACGATCGAGCCTTTGCTAAGGGCTTTTCCATTCTCCCAACAGCAGCTAGCATATTATCAATTTATCTGTCTGGAGCAAGGCTTGCGATCTCTTGCATGCAATTTAAAGCAGAAGTCATATTGCATACTTGAAACAGCATGTCTGGGGTGTTTTTGCCAAATGCTAATCCTATAGCAAGTCAACAAATCATATCTCTTTGTGGTGTGTTTATCACAACACAAAAAAACATGAAAAGAAGATCCTAGAATTTAAGTGATTAAAACATGTTTTTTTTAAAAAAGCTCAAAATGTCTTTTAATTTTATATTTTGCATGGTTACTTGATAGTAGGAAAGTGATTAATTTGTTTATGGGGTATTCTCATATATACACAGGCACTACACTAGGTGAACTATTTGAAGATGAGGAAAATATGGCAATTCCTTTAAGATAAAATAGTCAATAATGTTGTGAAGCTAAAGTTACAAGAGAAGAATGAGGACATACAAACTGCTTTAAAAAAAAATTAAAAAGCTCAAGTTCTTCCAGATCTAGCCATATTAGCTTCTTTCATAATTGCAAAATTTAGTTTTCCTCCAAAGGTAAGGAGATTTTGAACACAAACATAATTTTATGCGGGGTACAGTGCAAGATTCAAATCATTATCATTTGTTATATAAATGACCCATTAATTTTTACCAGTCCAAGGACATCTAAACTTAAGGAAATATTAAGTTTGAGGGGCTTAAGACGATGCATAAAGGATAGCGGGTGAGGAGGTGGAATGAACATTTCTTGAGTAAAATTCCCTGAAAGATTTTTTAATAAAGAAATAAAAATTATTTTGGAAAGTTTTGTAAAAGTTCTCTCTGTCTCTATCTCTGTCTCTCTGACTTTCTCTCTCTCTCTTTTTCCTCTCAGCAGCAGCATGGACATATGTGTGTGCTAGGCGACAAGATAACAAACAAACCGGCCGCAAGCAAATACTGTGGCTACCAGTTGGGTACTCATTCTGATAACAGAAACTTCACTCAGGCAAGCAAGAGCTCTCGGAATTAATATCTTTGGTTTGAAAAGCAAAAATTGTCCACCAGTTATAATTTCCTTTGAAGGGAGCTCCGTAATTCAAACGTAATTCAGCCCTCAGATTCTTCCCAGCAGCGTTGGTACATCACCCCCTTTCCCCTACCCAGACAGCGACATTCACCCACTTCCCTGCGCCTCCTCATGGAAAGGTACCTACCTCCACCAGGACTGGTTTATACCTTAATGTTATATTTAAAAAAGAACTCAGAGATTACACAGCATCTCGGGGGAAGAGGGGAGAAAAGAAAGTGGTATTCAAAATGTTGCAGCACCAGCCTTGTTTTGAAAAAAAAAAAACAAAAAAACCGAGTGCAATACAGCAGGCGCGCGCTGTCAACCGGAGCCGAGCCGCGGCTTCGGGATTCGGAGCCGGGCGCGCAGAAAGCGCTCCGAGGGTTTCTCGATAGTTGTTACTCACAACTTTCTAACAATCTCTGCGCACGTAAGCTATCTGGGGGGCACCAAGTACATTTCAGGAGCCAGGCTGGCGCGGCCATTTAACCTCCCGATTGCAAGCCTCAAAGTCCATTCCTCGGGTTCTCCCATCGCCACAAAACCCTCTGCTCCCTCTGAACACACTTCTGAGGTAAAGTTTTCCAAGTTTCACCTCTAACTTCAGCAGGACAGTCTGCTCCGCTGCAGACGCGCTGGGCTGCACCCGCGGGCTGACCGCAAACCGACTTTTCAAAAGATGAGCAGCGAGCGCGAAGCACGAGGCCATATCTCGGTCCGCAGCGGTTTGCTCCGCTGCCCAGCGACTCCATAAACGCTGACGCAGGGCGTGAGTTTGCCCCTCGGTTCCCCACACCTCTCGGATCGCATTAGGAGAGCGCCGCTCTTCGCGAACCCCCGGGTTAGCAGTGGAAGGAAACGCTGCGGACCCGGCCGCGTCTGCACTGTCCGCGCGCCATGCCATGCACTTGTCCCGCGCGCGGAGTGCAAACTTCAGAGCCGCTGCTCGTCGGGTCCCCAAACGCGCGGGGACAGCGGAGCGCGCAGCCTGGAAGGAACATTCCCGAGAGGGGCTCTTCCCGCGGTCCCCGCCGCCCTTGCGCTCCGCTGCGGCCCACGCGCCCTCCCCGAACGGCCCGACAACTGCGGGCCCGGTGGGGCGAGGGCGCAGCCCAGCTGGGCCCCGGGCGCCCCGGACGTACTCACCGCGCGCGTGGAGAAGGTGCCCGGCGCGGGGCGGACGCAGCCGGCTCCCTGCGGCCCGCACGGTACAGCCGCCGCCGCTGCCGCCGCTGCCTCCGCCTCCTGGGCTCCCGCGGCCGCTGCCTGCGCGGGGAGGAGCGGCCCCTTCCCTCACTGGGCCGGGCCCTCTCTGCCCCCGCCCGGTCCCCGCGCCGCTGCGTGGGCGCGTGGGGGCGCCGAGGCGCGGCGCACACAGCCAGCGGCAGGACGCGACGCGGGGCTCGGCCCTGCTGCTGCCGCCGAGCTCGCTGCTCTCAGAGCAAGCAGCCAGCCCAGCGCTCGCCCTCGCCGTCCACGAGGAGGCGAGGGCCCAGCCTCCTCCCACCCACCGCCACCCCACACCGCCTTCTTCCCCAGAGCCACGCACCCTCCCTGCACCCAGGCCCGGCCCGGCCCGGGAGAAAGGAAAGGCTGGGCCGGCCGAGGGACCTCACCAATGACACCAGCATTCATTCATTCATTCATTCATTCATTCATTTATTCATTCATTCTTCCGCCCTTTCATCCGTTCAGCATATAGTGGGCATCTTTCTATTAAACCAGGTACAGTTATTCAGCCAGAACAGGGCTACTACTTTTCTGCCCTCCCAGAACTTACATTCACGCGGAGAGACATCATAAACAATCAAATAAAAAATAAAGCGATTTTAGAAAGTTGTAATTACTATGGTGGAGGGAAAAAAATCTGTGCTGGGGTGGGGTGGGGGTAATCTTAGCTGGAACAGCCAGGAAAGGCCTTGTGAGAAAGTAACATCTGGATTACAGTAAGTGCCACTGGTGGTGATCGCTATCAAGGGAAGGAAGTTCAGGAATCGTCTCCTAGGTTTGACAGATGAGGAAACCAAGGTCCCGAAACCTTCTCTGCCTTACTGAAAGTAAGTTGCATATCCCCTTCTGCCCACGGCCCAGATGAAGATACTCCTTCCAGTCTCCTCTGTAACGCACTGCCTCAAACACGCACAAGTGAGTTTCAGAGGAACAAGCTACAGCCTAAGTATGTCCCGTGCAATAAGTGGCACCTACTTATACTGAAATGTATTCCTTCCTTTTCTGAAATTCCACTTTCATGGGGTTTCCTGTATTTTTATTTGCTGAATCTGCCAACCTTAAACTCACCCTGTGTGCGGAGCTCGTCCTTCCTTATTTAATCCCCCCAAGTGACTCAGATGTAGCTGGTGCTGTTAGCATGTCCCGTTTTATAAATGAGCAAGCAGGAGGCCAACAAAGGGAGAAAGCAGCTGCACCAGGGATAAATTCAGGGCTGGCTGGCTGGCTGCAAAGACTTTGCCTTTATTTCTTTATTTTCTTATTTTGATACTAGAGTTGGACCCCAGGCTCTCACACTTGCTCTGCCAGCGCTCTGCCACTGAGCTCCAGCCCCAGCTCTGGCCTTGCTCTTGACGCCATCTGGTCTGCATGGCCAGTTGAAGGTTTCTGGGAAGTGGAAAGAGGTGAAGTTCCCGGGCTCTGCATTAGCTTCAGCCTCCTTCGAAGGCCCTGACAGGGAGCGAGCTCAAAATGGGCTCTGATGGCCACTTGTTCAAGTGACATTTATCGTCATCTGCTTTTGACATGGGCTGCAGTCAGTAAAGAGGGCTCTTTCCGCTGTAACTCCTCCCTTGCCCTTGAAGAGGGAAGGGTGGCAATGGCCAGCACTTTGACAGCCCACCTGCCCAGGCATTTTGTGACATTTGTACAATTTTTCAGCTTCTTAAAGTTGTGATTGCTTTTATTAACTTAAGGATTCGTTTTCATATCTAATCTTGGACTCACAATAATTTTGTTCTCTTTCTGAAATAGGGGCCTAAAATTGTATTTGTATCAGGCCCCACCATCCACGGCCCCACCTCTGGTCCTAGCTTACTCTGTCCCCCTTATGTTCCCCAAACCTTACACCAGAGCAAATGTATTCAGTAAACATGGTTTGTCCTCCCAGGAGCCAGCAAGTATTAGGCCTGCTGCTGCAGGCATGGGGGCCACACCTCTTCTGTCTTCTAGAAGCAGATGGTGTATGTACGTGGCTTTGATTTTCTCATCTCTGAAGCCGAGAGAACAGTGCTCCCTGTACTATTACCGTGAGGATTCACTGAGCTCATGTTGCTCTTCCACTGTGATAGCAGCTGGTGCTCGCTATGGCTCAGCACCAGCACAGATTATTGCTGTGCACACAACTTCACTTCCCACAGCATCTTTTCAGAGAGCCTGAGCTGCTAGAAACTGAGCAGCTTCATGTCCTCCAGAGGTGTTTAGTTGGCCTTGACCTCTGAACCTGTATATACAAATACATATGTGTGTGTGCACGTGCACACACTTAAGAAATAAACTGGAATAGATTGGCGCAGGAAACACCAAGTGAATTGGCCCTCTGTACATGTGAGTTTTGCATCCTCAAATTCAACCAACCTTAGATCAAAAATATTTGGGAAAACTTTTTTTTTCTGAAATGAGTGTGCATGACTTTTTTCCTTGTCATGATTCCCTAAACAATACAGTGTAATTTAAAACATTCATTTACATTTTATTTGCCATTGTGAGTCATCTGGAGATGACTTAAAGCATCTGAGAGGATGTGCATGGAAATATTAAGTTATTTTACAGAAGGAACTGGAGCATGGGAGGCTCCGGGGGTCCCTGAGAGGTCTCAGAATGAGGGATGACTGCATACTTGTACACACACACACACACACACACACACACACACACACACACACAGGTTAGCAGGACAGGAAGAGTGTTTGTTCCTGTGGATCACAGCAGGATATGTCGAACACTTAATAACTAGGGTACCCTATGGAATGCAAAGGGTTAATCTGTGTCATTCAAATCATTTTACTCCATCACCAGAATCTGGCCCATTATCTCCTAAATTGCAGTCTACCCCTGAGAGATAAGGAGGAGGCAGGTGCTTATTAATTTTATTTTTCCTTCTCTTAGAGCAGTGGTTCTCAACCCCCATGCACATTAGCATCTCCAGAGGAGCTTCTAAAAATCCCCATGCTGAGGCCCCACCTCAAACCAAGTAAGCCAGGCTCTCTGGAGACAGGACTGTGGCTTTAGCATTTTTTAAAGGTCCTCAGGTGATGTCAAAGAAAGGCAGAAGGCCAGACTCCCCATTGTTTTTCTTGTTATGTTTTTTCTTTTTCATACTGAGGATTGAACCCAGGCACTTTGCAGTGAGCTACATTCCCAGCCCTTTTTTATTTTTTATTTTGAGACAGGGTCTTGCTAAGTCACAAAGTTGCCTAGGCTGTGCTTGGACTTTTGATCCTCCTGCCTCAGCATTCCAGAATGCTGGGATGACAGATGAAGCCAGTCTTTGATAGAGTAAGAGCCACAGCAGGTGAGCAGAAGCTGAGATAGGACCTAAAGCCCCAATTTGTATTTAAGGACATGGAAAATTTAGCCACCCTCCCCTATAGGAGGGCCCCTTTCTGTCTCTTTTATCCTGATTTCTCCTTGGTATTTATTCTCATTTTATAATAACACATAAAACAATCCCAAACAAAATTTGACAATGCCAAGCCATAAAACAGAATCTTGAGGGTGTAAACCATGGCGTATCTACCTTGGAGTAAAACACATTCCCACTGCCCCCCCCCATCTTCCCAGTAAATGTACTCTAAAGCCAAGAGGCCATATTAACTTTGAAAACCATGAATTTCATAATGTATTCAACATGTATACATATCCCACAAACATACATACGTATTCTCCATGCAAAATCATGCCTCATTTCTATACACATTCCTTTCTCACCTACAAAGATCGCCTCTACAGAAAAAGTACCCCATTTTTAAATGAATTTATTTAAACCTTGGATCTTTTCAAAAATGGTTTGAGGTAGTACATAAAAACATGTATGGCAGCATAATAAAGAAAACAAGTTGACCGAGAAAAATAAGAATGAAAAGAAAGTCAAGGACAGGGTTGGAACACCAAATGTGGACTGGAAGTCTTGAGTACTTGCCAGTGGTGGACCAATAATTAGATGCTGAGCTTCCTGGCAGCCAGTGCAAAGAGGGAAATGAATCAATTACATCAGGGATATTCAAACTGTTTTTATTCAAAAGCAAGCATGTAAAAAAATACAACATGAACAAAGGAGATAAAGAATGGCAGTTATAGACTCATATTTCACCCATTTCTCTTGTGGGTACTTGTAAAGGGTCTTAAAGGAATCCCCCAAAGTTTTGTAGAATCAACAAGGAAAGTCATGAATTTCAAAGCACTTCATTTTGTTTATGATTCACAGTGCCTCCAAGATAGAAAGGACCCAAGCTACATGTCAAATTAGAGCTTTATGTGATACTGCAAGTGGAAAGAGGTTTCCTCCGTGTCCTTCTAAAAGTGGCAGTCTGTGATACAGGGTATGTGTGAGGGGATGCTTTTGGCAAACTTTTGAAATAGTACAAAAATACCCATCCACCCCATCCCCTGCCTCAAGAAAGAAATTTTGCATCTTCCCTAACTCCAGAAGACAAATACAGGCATACATCAGCCTCTAAACAACTGTTGCAAATAGTTTCCCAGTAGAATGGCTTTTTTTTTTTAACATCCAAACTTTATAGAAGGTACGCTTCTCACAATTAGAAAAAAAATCTTTAACAATAATTTTTAAAGAAAATAAGAAAAATAGCAACACAAAGAGAAAGACTGATACATATGCCTCCAAAATGTCACTCAGTCTTTCTACCAAAATAACACAAGAGAAAAGTAGCATTTTAATTGCAGTGAAAGAGTAGCAGGGCCACATTCTGAAAAGTGCAATGGAGAAGCAACAGGAGGGACACACAGCTGGATATGGCCACGACACTGAGACATCATGTGCAAACTTACTCTTTGTCGAAAACTTTAGTGACTATAGTGATCAGATAGCCATGCTTTAAGCATTTTCCATCCTAATAAGCAGGTTGGGTACTATGGCATTCCTGCAGTTTAAACACATCCTCTCCAAAATTCAGCTGTTGGAACTTAATGGTCAATGTCATAGTAGTAAGAGGAGGGGTCTTTGAGAGATAAGTAGGTCATGAGGGCTTCTCCCTTGCAAATGGGATCAAGGCTCTTGTAAAAGACATTTGCTTGCACCTCTGCCTCTGCTACATGAGGATACAACAT